ACCTCAAAATCTATCTGTGTGTGTGGAAGTCAAGGAACATCTCTTAGGAGTTAGTTCTCTCTTTCTACCATGGGCCCTAGGGATCAAACTCATGGTTGGTAGCTTTGTGTAACAAGCACTTTTCCAAGCTGAGTCACCTCATTGACACTGTCCCTTTTCTTTGAAATTCCTTAATGATCTGCTGTTCTCATGCTTGTATTTATCCATCATGCTGGTTTCATGTGGTGAACCAATACACTGTTTTCTGCTTCTGGGCCCACTGTTGGTATTAAAGTTTCTATTACTTGCACAAAGATGTGCTAAATTTTTGGACAAACATTTTTGTTTACTCTTACTTTTTTGAAAGCACAGTTTCTTTATTATTTTTAATAAATTTTTATTTAAATTAGAAACAATATTTTACATATATAATCCCAGTTCCCTCTCACTCCCATGCCTCCCACTGGCCCCCCATTCTACCCCTATCTATTCCCCAGGGAGGGGAAGCATTCCATGGGGGATCATTAAAGTCTGTTACATCATTTGAGGCAGAGCCTAGGCCCTCCTTTCTGTGTCTAGGCTGAGAGAGTATCCCTCCATGGAGAATGGGCTCCTAAAGCCCTTTCGTGCACTAGGGATAAATACTAGTTCCACTGCTAGAGGCCCTATAGACTGCCCAGGCCTCCTAACTGGCACCCACGTTCAGGTGACCAAGTTTGGTCCTGTGCTGGTTCCCCAGCTGTCAGACTGGGGTGATCTGTTTCTGTGGGTTTACCCATCATGGTCTTGACCCCTTTACTCTTTTTTAGTGGAAAGTGTGAGCATTAACCATAATTCTATACCCACTTGGCAGAACCTTCAGATGAACCTGCTTGTACTATGAAAATGACCTCCCTTCAGAATTTAATGATTAATCCTGAAGAAAATCTCTCTTTTAATAGAGTTGTATTAGGTTGCTAGAAATACCAAAAAACAAACAAACAAACAAACAAACAAAAGAAATCAGAGATTGGATGATTTAAAGACAAACAATATTTTCTGAAGATCAGAACTTCAAGACAAAAGCGTTCACATTTGGGGTTCACATTTTTCTGAGGTACCTTCCCAGAGACGAGTGAAGCCTATGTATACCTCCCTTCTCTACCATCCATCTCTCTGTGTCATCTCATCTGTATTTTAGCATCATTTTCTCATCAGAACACCAGTCAAACTGGGTTAAAGCCCACACATACAATGCCATTTAACGTTAAGTCTTTCCTTAACGGTTCTGTCTCCAAATGCAGTTATATCATGCAGTGCTGGGCATTAGGACTTCAGTAATATGTATTTGGAGAGGGGATACATGATGGGGGCCATAATAATAGATTTCTCATAACGAATGCCCTAGAATAATTTTTATGGTCCTGCTGTGCTATTTAGACATATCAGCCCGGGTTGTTTAGAATACTATAAAAAGATGACAGGTTGCTTATGGGAAAGCAAAGGGAGGTTACAGATAAGAGTGTCTATAGAAAACACATACTTCTGTTACTTTAGAGGATGACTGCTTTAAAGAATTGATTACATCATATATATCAATATATATGGATATATGGATTATTGATATATGGAATCATTTTGTATACCAAGAACATGAAGAAAATTAAAGGCAACAGAAAAGAGACACTATACAAATTGTACAGTTGTATGTTTTCTCTCCAAATAGAAGTACATGTACAAAACTATTACTTTGCCATAGTACTAATTTGAATCAACTTCTGCTATAGCAGTTGTGTTAATAGTCTTTCAAAATCAGGAAAACTAGGATATACAAATATGCAAAATACATGATTAAGAAATATTGTTATAAATTCATAAGTCTTGGCACTGGCAAGCCTAAGATTTTCTACACCATATTTTATGCAGTAAAATGAAGAAACAGAATGTAGAAGTGTGTAGAAACTTTCTGTGAAAATCATTTTCATAGATGTTTGCATACAGTTTTGTAAGAATTTGGTGGAATCTAACCACAGTGCTATATTTGGAAACTTTGGGGAAAAAAGGAATACACAAGTGTAAGTCCACTTTTAACTATTTTGTTGAACATCTTATTTTTCTTATGTACTTCTGGACAGTCTCTGCCTGAAATCATTGAAGACTTGATATGAGACCCATTTTTCCCCACACACTAAAAAGAAGTGACATTTTCCTTTGAAAATGTAATTTATACATATCTCCCAAGAAAAATCAAAAATGAAAGCTTAATATCAGATAACAGCATACTAACTTGAGAGTCACTCATGAGTCCTCCATTAGATTGCTCTGATGAAAATATTCATAATCTTTGGATGCCTTCTTATGACACCCCTGGGTCTTGACTAGTTTGCAGTAAATAATAACACTCATGGATATTTTTAACATCTTGTCCTATTGGTGACCTTAATCCTATAACTATCATTCAAGATGTGATGCTATGAAGTATGATTCCCTTCCTAAATATGGAAGAAACTTGAGTCTGAGACCTTTTGTCAATTCTGAAAAGCCATTTTGGTGGTATAACTGACCAGCCTTCCTAAATTTTAGGCTGACAGTTTAACTCAGTCCCCCAAGGTTTCTTTTAAATAATCAAATAAATTCATTTGATCCCTGTTTGTAACTGCACTTGAATTCTCTTTAAGATCAGACGCACATTTTATTAGGTAATACCCAAGGTGTTTCACTCATTCTCTGTCTGAAATGTTCAGTAATTGGTTGACCTCTTGCAACACCACAGAATTAAAAGACAAGAACTAAGTTATTTGGTGACAGTGAGTGACATTTAGAAGGATTGCTTTAGTGATTCATAAGCTAGATGGTATTTTCTTAATAAATAGTCTTTGTGCTCATATCTCAAAGTGATATTTCCACTGTGTGAATTCTTCTGTAAAGTAATAGTTAAAAATTCTGAGGGTGACATTTATCAGTAGTGTTAAATTACTTGCTACTCTAAATAGAACTTGGAATTGACTGCTATTGTTGTGTCATCACTGAATGAAATTAATCAGAATAAAAATGTGTGTTCATTTTCCATGATATAAAGAAAATATATTGGACTTGATTTTTTTCAAAAAATACAACAGTGAAAACCAAAAGACATATGCAAGTGTGATACAGATATATTGAGGAATGTCCTTAAGACATGAGGTTTCTTTTTTCCGTGGGTAAATTCAATTGCGGACCTCTATGATTTTTTTTACATGCTTTTGTTGTGCTATTTTATGTTTTAATATAAACTTTCCTTCTGCTTTATTTAGCTATCAAGGAGATTTTTCCTTTTTGTAAAACTGAACTATAAAATGTGTGACTGCATTGTTATAGAGATGCGCATTTTCATAGCCTAGGATTTTAGATTTTCACAATGTTGTAATCATCTCATTAATGCTGGCCTCTTGAAAAATCCATTAATCAATCTCTAATTGTCAAGGAGCTTCCTGGGTGAAGGAAGTGCTTAGGGGAATATTAATGCACCTTATTTACATTTTACAATCTAACGGAATACATCAAATTCCACTATTTGGAGTCCTAATACAATAGCAAAGAAAGACCAGTCACACATAGCTGTACTTCTTAAAGATAGATAGAAACAGTCATGTCTTATTTAAGATTGTTTAGTAGTATGAGCTCTCATATTTGTTTTAAAACTTTTAAAAATGCTCTGTATACTAAACATTTTGAGAATATAAATAACAAGAAAGATTTCATAGTTTTAAGTTAAAATTTCCATTATTCTTTGACAGCATCAAGATGATTCCATCATTTGACTTTTCACATTTTTATAATAAAACGTTATTCAGTTTACAAAGCATACTTACTTTTATAGTTCAGTCTATAAATGTATATTAAATTTAGACATTGTTTTAAACAGTATACAAGACAACTGTCCTCACATTCCATGAGAACTACTCTGTACATTGTAAGGCGTTGTTTTAGGGTGAATGATCCTTGCTTTTAAGAAGTGTGGTTTCTGGTTGACAAAAATATGATTGAATAATTGTTCAAGAGAGAAAAATTACAATTCTCTCATCCACACAGCACATACTACTAGTGGTTTTCACTGGGTATGGGACTAGAAGTCACCGAGTAAGATTTCTAATTCAGTCAACCAATTGTCAATCAATGAGTTTCTTGGTTAAAACCTAGTTCCTCAATGAGGCTCCAGTACTTAAATAACATTGTATCATTACACAAATAAACTAGCTGCCCTGGAAGACTCCATGGTTATATTACTTAGGACATTCTGTGAACTTTCATTTAAACCCTAAACTCTAATAATCATCTGCATCCCAGTTACTTTTCCTTAATTTAAAAATTATATCATCTATTATCTATCATCTATACATGTATCTATATATGTATCTATCAATATATCATCTGTCATCTATGTATGTAACTATGAATATATTATGTATTTATGTATCTATGTATCTGTCTATCTATCAATCTTCTATTTATTTGTGGCACTGGGAGCTCATGCATGTAGGATAAGGACAGTTTGGTTGTAAAACCCTCTTTTTAATTTTTAATATGAGACGAGATCTCACTATTTGTCCAGGCTGCCCTTGAACTTGTGACCCTATTGATTTACCCTTAAAAATATCCTGGAAACAGAAGCAATCTCCATTGACTTTGGTGACTAGAAAATGTAAGATGGCCTCTCAGCTTTCCCAGCTCTAGTACACATATGAGTAACTAACCTTTTGTATGGGACAAAAGAAAACTGTGACTAAAGTTGTAACACCTGTGATGCTTATATTATCTACCTTTAGTCAAAAGGACATCATCAAGGTGAGCTTTGCTTCATAACATGGTTCCTTAAAGAGATGTGTTGGCTTCCACATCTTGAGACAATGTGTCTTTGTGGCAAGGAGTAGAGAGTAGAAGCTAGTGGCTAGAAGAAGTGCTTTGTTGATAGCAACAAAAGTGAGAACTCTAGCATACAAATACAAAGGAATTTACCTAGCAACCCAAGAACTTGAAAAGGATCTCCAGGTGAGTCAACAGCTCAGGTTGATGCTTACTTAGCCTCCTGCCTGATGAAGTTCTCAATGGAAGTTTCAGTTGATGGGACTCTTGATCGATGGAAACCACAGGTCTATTAGTTTTCGTTATTTAAAACAACCATATCTGAGGTGGTTTGTTAGGTGGCAATAGACAATAGTTCAATCTAATTGATCAATTTCATGTGATTTTGTAAATCCTTCTCTGTACCTCAACTGCTTCCTTTATAAACTGAATCAACCATCCTTTAAAATTACTACATTTCACCTTTATATTTGGGATAATATTCATTCTTCCAGAGAACATAAACTCCATACTCAAAATAATACAAAAAATTACTTAAGATTTTACATATGTTCCTAATACAATATACATATGATATATGTGGTTTATTGGTTTTGAGACAGAATCTTACTTTGTAGCCATGGCTATCCTGAAACTCACCATGTAGACCAAATGGGCTCTAAACTTTCTGGAAACTTCCTCCTTTTGTTTCATGAGTGTCTAACTTGGAAATGAATAAGATTTTTTTTAATGCTATGAGTAGTTTTAAAAAACTCACATGAAAAGGCTTGCTTTTATTACTTTAGTTTTTAGGGTTGTGTTAAATTTATTTTTATTTTTCACTTATGTTCATGTGTGTGAGTGTGAAAGATCAGTCTTTTAAAACATTATTAGTAACTATTAATTCAACGGGTAATAAGATACAAATCATAAATACAATTTTCAATTAAAATTTTAGGTCAAAGTTGAGAAATACATAATATGTATTAATTATCTTTCATGTTGCTGTGATCATAAATGATCATTAAATACAGCAAAGTATCTACATACAAATAGAATACTATATACCCTAAGGATGCAATATTGTAGAAAAACCCAGACTTATGTTCAACCACTTAAAAACCATTCTAATTGTTATTTAATCTAAATGATAGATATCATTAAATTAGTTTCTATAAAATTAGAAGTATGAACTGAACCTTAAATCGGTAAGTGCACAGATGCAAAATATATGCAATGTAAAATGTCTAAGAGTTTAAATTTACATTTTTCATGGACATTGAAGAAATAAGCTTTTTTTTTTTTGAGACAGGGTTTCTCTGCATTGTTTTGGAGGCTGTCCTAAAACTAGCTCTTGTAGACCAGGCTGGTTTTGAACTGAAAGAGATCCGACTACGTCTGCCTCCTGAGTGCTGGGATTAAAGGCATGTGCCAACACCGCCCGGCAGAAGAAAGCTTTTATAGTCATTGAAAAATGCTATAAATATATCAGGTAATTTATGTTGACTCATGAATGGAGGTTGTAATGACTATTTTTTTCCTAAGAGAAAATTTCCTTTATTGTGTAATTATGCAATAATGTACTTCTATTCTCACTTTTATTCCTCTATGAAGTATTTCTTTGAAATTACTATAGGACAAGGAAGTGATTACAGGCATCTAATTTCATTTGTTGTATCAGTAACACGGTAAAAAGAAAGTGATTATTCCACGAATAAGCATACTCACAGAATGGTAAATAATTCATTACACGTAGATCTTACAATACAGCAATAATATACTGCACATTCAGCATCTCATGCCATCAGAGTCATTTTCATATTTTACTAACACCAAAACTCACTGTTTATTAGACCTTGTAAAATAAATGCCTTCTACTTCATACAAACTTACCGTGTGCCAGAAAGCAAGTTAAAGAAGTGAACAGTCAAGTTCAAGTTGTTTGTATAGTGACTTACCTTTTCCAAAATCCTGAAACAAATGTCCATTTCCATTTCTGCTGTCTTGATTTTACTCTATTCAAATGATACCAACTAGGCTATTTAAAAGTAAACACCTAATTCTATGACAACAAGAGTTTACTACTTTGTGATGGAGGAAAGAAATACACTGGAGAAAGAGATGGGAGTTCTTATATAGTTAGACTGTACATTGATTTTTGATACAGTATCTATTTTGTACCCTCTTCTAATGGAAACAGTTGCCTGTAGTATGAGAACTTTTACCTGAGTTTGGCAGCACATGCCTGCAATCCTGTACTCTAAAGGCTGAGGGGCAAAGACTGTGAAAATGAAATTCTGAACTAACTTCACCTACTGTGTGAGATGCTGTCTCAAAAACAATCTAAAATCTAACAAACAAAACAATTAGAAACCAGTCTGGTGGTGGGGGCACACACCTTTAATCCCATCACTTAGGACAGAGAGGCAGGCAGATCTATATTTCAAGGTCAGCCTGGTGTACAGAGTGAGTTCCAGTATATCCAGTGCTACACTGAGAAACCCTGTCTCAAAAAAGAAGTAATTGGAAAACATTAACAAACAGGAGAAATCATATGAATATTCCAAAAGAATATTATGCATCCTGTCAATTAGTTCACCTTATGAATAACTTACCATACTAATTATATGCTACATTATATCACTTAAAATCAAAAAGTGTTTTATTTCAAATAGTATCTCAAATAGTAAACACTAAAAATTGTCATCCTCTCTTGCATGCTATATTCTTAAAGCAATCTGCCCAAGAATAAAAGATGCATATGCCACATAGAAAATAAGTCTATCTTATATACCTAGTGTTATTCTTATGAGCATCTCAATACACTTTATCTCTCTGTACCATAACTTTGCACTCAGTGTATTTTATGCTACTTATTCTGCAGGAATGGAGCAGATACATTTACGTTTCACAAGAAATAAAGGTTGAGTCTTATCGTAATTAAAGAAAAGTTATACTAGAATGGTGTGGAGGTAAGAGAAAGCCATTAGAGTTCAAAACTGGGAGGAACTGAACACAGGAGTTTAAATGAGAACCGCAGCAGGGTTGGTTGCCTTGTGAGGAGCTGCTGGGCTTTCTAGCAGACAGGAAATCGAGAATGTGGAGGAACTGAGGTAAACGTTCAGTAACTTACAATTTCATTTCACCTATGATGAGGACTAGAGGATGCCTGCTACAAATCAGGTGATCCCTATACTCCGTATTCAACGAGACAATAGAAGACATTCAACACCTATAGGTGGCCTACACATTCAAACGCACTCAGGTGAATGAGCAACCATAGGCACAGGTACACACACAACACACTTGAACACATACACACACCAGAGAGGGGAAGTGAGGGGGAGGGGGATAGAGGGAAGAGAGAGAGAGAGAGAGGAGAGACAGACAGAGAGGAAGAGAGAGGGAGAGATAGAGAGGGAGACAGAGACAGAGAGAGGGTATAATACCATTTTTAGATGTGTTACTTCTGTTTATGCTGTGGAACATTTGTTTAATGGCATAAAGATGTGTGATTTTTGTTTATATTGCTTTTGTTTAACTCTGCGAAGCTGTGATTCTTTGCCTGTCTAAGACACCTGATGGTCCTCACAAAGAATTGAGCATCCAACAGCGAGGCAGGAGCAAGGATGGGGGGGGGTTGGCAGAAAGAGAGGACAAATAGGAGGAGAAACGAGAGAGAAGAGCAGCAAAAGAACAAGGAGAGGAGAATGTCAGGGGCCAGCCACCCAGCCACCCAGCCACCCAGCCACCCAGCCACCCAGCCACCCAGCCACCCAGCCACCCAGCCACCCAGCCACCCAGCCACCCAGCCACCCAGCCACACAACCAGCCATGGAGTAAGAAGGAAAGTAAAATATACAGAAGTAAGACACTAGAAAAAAAAAAAACCATCCTGAGTGAGGCAACCCAGTCACAAAAAGAGAAACATGGCATGTACTCTCTCATATATGGATTTTAGACATAGATCTGGGGAGTGCCAGCCTACAATCCTATGGCCAGAGAGTCTGGGAAACAGAAACCTCATTTAGTGGCTGATCGAAGAAGAGGCAGACTCCCTTGGTTAAGTACTGAGCTGAACTCAAGAAAGCCAGTAACAGAGAGGGAGGACTGATGATCAAAGGGATTAAGACTGGGCTGGTTTAACCCCCAGAAACAGCTGACCAGACAAGGGTTAGCTCTTGAATCCCAGGCATCAGCCTGGGAATCCAGCATGGGACTGATCAAGACCCCCTGAATCTGGGTGTCAGTGAGGAGGCCTAGGGAATCTATTGAGCCTTGGGCAGCAGATCAGTACCCATCCCAAGTATACACACGGACTTTGGACTCCCATAGAACAATGTGAGGTGCACTCTCACCCTGAACTCTTGGGGAAGGGTCTAGGCCCTGCCCTATATGAAATGACAGACTATGGACACCCCCATGGAGGACCTCACCCTCCCTGGGGGAATGAGGGGATAAGGGGGGAGGGGCTGGGGGAGGGCACGGGAGGAGGGGAGGGAAAGGGAGAGGGACCTGGAACTGACTTGTGAAGCAACCATGTTTCTTATCTAAATTTAAACTGGAAAATAAAATAAAATAAAAAGAAATAAACCTTATGATTCCATAAAGTTTTCTCCCTTGAAAAGGACTTGAGCTTCTGTAGGAAAAAACACCCACTATTGGTTCATCCTTATGATGAACTGTGAAGGTATTTAACACTGTTTAAAACATCTTGTTCTTTATTCTAGTAACAGGTAGGTGATAGGTATTGCCACAAGTGGGTGAATATTTCCTATATTTCTTGCAAATTTTGGTGTTTAGGAGCGGGATGTCTACATTATACTCTATGTTCTCCTTTGTAATGGATTTGCTACTTTTCCCTCTCTTTAGCAGAGTGAGGATTCTTCTGATTTGTGATATTCCCATCAAACAAGGGTTTGGAGAAGAAAGCAGTGTGCATCATTCAAGAGTCCTCTGCCAGCAAGGCAGATTTACTGTGTTTCTAACCAACCTTAAGTACGTATGGACTTTTGTAACTTGTGACCAATTAAACATTGAGTCTTATGTCCCTTTCTTGCTGATTCTTTGGATTTCCTGATATTTTTTTTATGTTAAGTTCCTGTCAAACTTTGATATTGCAAATATCTTTTCCCAGTCTGCCACCCATCTGTTAAGTTTGACAATAATGCTCATTAAACAGATATATTTAATTATTATGTAAATTTATTAGTATTTATGCTTATGGCCTGAGACTTTGGAGTTTTTTTAAAGAGAGAAGTTCCTATCCTCAGCGTTTAAAAGAAAAAGGAAAAAGTAAAAAACAAACAAACAAATATTTGGCAATGTATTTACTATTAAAGAACTCGTGAAAAGAGGGATCAGTGAGATAGCTTGGTGCATGAGGTTGTTTGACCCTAAGCCTGATGATCTCAGTTACATTCTTAGGATTCTCATGGGAAAAACAGAGAAATGGTTTCCCAAAGTTATACTCTTACCTCTTCATGAACAATTTAGCATTTGTGATTTCACACGGACACACACACTTACACTGCCCCCACCCACACAAAGTAGCACTTGATCCACTTTGAAGACAACCTCAATCAATTCGTATGACTCACAACCACCTGTAACTCCAACTCCCAAGCATTCTAAGTCCTCTTCTGTCATTCTCAGGTGCTGTGAAGGACATGTATATGAACATACACACAACTGATTAATTGTAAAAGTAAGTCTCCCTTAAAATTGCTAAAAACAGAAGTGTAATTATATTTTGAGGATTGGAACTGAATTTTAAGCTATTTCCACATTAAAAAAAAATTTCACTTCATGGAAGGCCTCAGCCTCTCTGGGGAGCAGAAGGGGGATGGGATGGGGGAGTTGGTGGGGGGTATGGGAGGATGGGAAGGTGAGGGAACTGGGATTAATATGTAACATCATAAGATTGTTTCTAATTTAAATAAAATACCTAGAAAAAAAAGAAATATAAAAGCCCAGAGTTAAAAGGTAGACCAGTTAATTTAAGATAAGAAAAGCTGACTAGAAATAATCCAAGCTAAGACTGGGCATTCCTAAGTAATAATAAGCCTCCGTGTGTGATTTATTTGGAAACTTGCCGGTGGGCCTCCCCCAAAGCCAAAAGAGCAAAAACAAACAACACACAGAGAGAATGTGAATAAGAATCTTATCATAAGGTGATACAATACTTAGAGAAGTACATTGTGTAATACCAAACCATGGATGGGGTATAAACATTGAATGAGGGTTTGTGTAAACCCAAGGGCAACGGCTTTCTTTAATGTGAACAAGATTCCAAAGAGCCACAGCACTGAGAGAGAGTAAAGAGTACTGAGCCTTTTCTCTGAAGTAGGAAAATTTCCAGAAATAATAATGCATAGGGCAATAAAGGACATCATTTCTATTTGACTTTCTAAATATTTACTTGTTGAACGCAAGATGAAGAAGAAATCACACAAGCAATTTTACTTCAGAAGACAAATTTACCTGGAAGGAGAATATTCAAGAAACCAACACGAATATCTTCAAACTGCACAAGGAGACTGGTTTGTAAATAAGGATTTGGTGTGTACTAATTTACACAGCAGCAAGATTTTTAAAAAGCCGGCAACTTTCAGTTGTTGAAAAGTTACATTTGAGAAAAAAGAAGCACATAAAGAATGGTCAGGTCACACTGGATTGATCACTTCATCTTACTTATGTGAAGTTGACCATGCACAGACAAGAAGTTATGTTAATAAGAGACTGCTTTGCCAGTCTTTTCATTTATCATTTCTTCACCTAAAATACAACAGTAAAGGCCTGGGCCAACATGAGCTAGCTTGTTGGAACCCATTCCCTATGGTGGGATGCCATGGTCAGTATTAACGCATGGGAGAGGAGCCAGGCCCTGCCCAACCTATTGTTCCAGACTGGAGGTGAGCTGGGAGGAAGGTGAGGGAGGATGGAAGAAGGTGAAAGGGGTTTGGAGGGGTGGGAGGTAGAACTGTGGTTGGAATGTAAGATGAAATCAAAAGATAAAAGATGAAAAAAAGAGCAAGTTTACCATCTACTAACAATTCCAAGAAATAGAAAATCCCAAATAATGGGCCAGGAGAAGAGGAAGGGTTTACATTAAGAAGATTGCAGATATATCCATACCTATCACCATGGACAAAACTTAAGTTCAAATGGATCAAAGACTTCAACATAAATCTAGCCACACTGAACCTTAGAAGAGAAAGAGGGAGGTATCTTTGAACGATTTGGCACAGGAGACCTTGTCCTGAACATTATGCCAATAACACAGACACTGAGATTGACAATTAATAAATAGGACCTCCTGAAACTGAGAAGCTTCTGTAAGGCAAAATACACAATCAACAAAACTAAACAGCAACCCCCAGAATGGTAAAAGATATTCACCAACCCCACATCAGGCAGAGGGCAGATTTCCAAAATATACAAAGAACTCTAGAAGCTAGTCACCAAAACACCAAATAATTCAACTAAAAAGTGGGGTACAGAACTAAACAGAGAATTCTCAATAGAGGAATCTAAAATGACAAAGATAATTAAGAAAGTGTCTCAATAGAGGAATATAAAATGACTGAAAGACACTTAAGAAAGTGCTCAACATCCTTAGACATCAGGGAAATGCAAATCAAAACAACTCTGAGATTTCATCTTATACCTGTCAGAATGGCTAAAATAAAAAAAATTTAAAAACACCATTGGTAGTTTATCCTGGAGAGGATGTGGAGAAAATGCTTCTCCATTGCTGGTTAGAGTGCAAACATGTACAGCCTCTTTGGAAATCAGTATGGAGATTCCTCAGGAAAATGCAATATGTGTACCACACCTAGCTTTTTAAATTTAAATTAGAAACAATCTTATTTTACATATCAATCCCAGTTCCCTCTCCCCCCCCCCATCCTTCCGTGGCCCTGACTTAGGGTGAGGCCTTCCATGGGGGAATCATCAAAGCCTGTCATATTATTTGGGGCAGGGCCTAGACCCTCTCCCATCACACCTAGCTTTTTATGTGCGTCCTATATGAACTTGCTTGTCAGAATGAATATTATCAACTGTTACCTCCCTGAACTTTTCTTGTCCTTCTTTTATATTAAAATTCAGCTATCATTTTAAGGTTTCATTATAGAAATTGTATTTTGTACCCAAATATTCATAAGAAAGAGGTCTTAATTCAGTAGTGATAGGAGATATAATGTAGTATAGCAACAAAATTCCTTTTAAGTAAATGATAAGATACAAGGGCTATAGATGATATTCCTAATGAAATATGTTATCACTCATATTTTGTGAAAACTTAGGGACATAGAGTCAGTCAGGTGTTGGGAAGTACAATACAACTTTCAGGAGAAGACAAGGAAACTGAAAACAAGTATGGGTAAGTTGATGACACATTTAGCTTACCTTGGCTGTTATTTTTCTTATTTTTTCATGTTCTTTCCAAAGACAGGAAGGTACATATCTGCTTATCTATCTCATGTTATAATGCCTGGCCATCCTTTCCTTATGGATGGAACCTTCTCAACAAGTTTATATTTGTGGTTTTGAGTTGTGAAGAATAGGGTCTATTCCCCATTTTCATAAGTGTCTGTATTTTTCACAGTGCAATGTCTTGTTTGCTCATGTTTTCACTTCTATCTCCACCTTCCTGTGTATTGCAAACACAGTGGGATCATGGACATTAATCTTGTTTTGTGGGGAGGGAAGCAAGGCATTTGCTCACTTGCTGTGGTTTAAATTTGCTCCACATGACTGTCAGAATTAATTATCCTTTTCTTGTGTATGTTTGCTTTTTGTTTTTCGAGACAGGGTTTCTTTGTATTGTTTTGGAGGCTGTCCTGGAACTCGCTCTGTAGACTAGGTCGGCCTCGAACTCACGGAGATCTGCCTGTGTCTGCCTCTCAAGTGCTGGGATTAAAGGCGTGCGTCACCAATGCCCGGCTAATTATCCTTTTAAATAAGCTTGCTAAGTAACAGGTTTCCCTATGAAGTTTGTAAACACAACCCGTTCTTCCTGAGCTCTCACCTCCACACCTCTACTCCTTCCTCCCCTTCTGCTTATTTTCTTGCTCAGCATTCCTCCTTCAACTTTAGAACTCCTAAGGCCTATTTGCTCCCAGCTTGCTTCTTCTAAGCCTTTATCCCACCAATGAGACACTTTCTAGATTACCTCATTTAGTGCTTTCCAGTTCCATTAGTTTCCCTGAAAATGTCATAATTTAATTTTTCTCAATAAATTAAAATTTTATGACATATAATTTTAATAAATATGTAGCTCAATAAATGCCATTCCATGTCATGTGCATTCTCCATTTATCTGTCGGCGGACATCTAGTATGATTTTACTTCCTTGCTATGATGAAAAAGTAGCAATAAAAATTGTCTAAGTATGCCTTAGTGGGCTATGGCACACTTTGAGAATGTGCTCAAACATGATCATAACTATTTATTTTAGTCTAATCCCAATCAACAGGATAAACTGGTATGCCTTTTGGTTTTACATTTTTCTGAATTTAAGAGGAACTTTTCATATCCTTTGTGCCATTTGGGTATTTCCTTTTAAAATGAGTTTTTTTTTTTTTTTTTTTTTTTTACTCTGGACATCTGTCAATTTTAGAATTATTTTCTACATATCCTACATCCTAAAGGACAGCAAAACTATGGCATCGTCTTATTGTGTATTTCTGATTTCATGAACAGGTTTTGATTTTGTTAGTTCCTAATATTTATTTTCATTTGTTACCTTCAATTTTTTTCCTACACACATTTATAAACAACCACCTACATTAAAAAAAATTGATGTTACCTTTCCATGCTAAACTCTTAATCTGAAGAGGAAATTTTGTAACTTTAAAGAGATTCTATTATTCACTTATGAATAATATAAGTGAAAATATTGCCTTACTGTTCACTAATATTATCAGCTTATCAAGACATCAAGCTGAAATTCTGAAATAGTCAAGTGAAATATTCACATTTGCTAAATGCTTATCCATATATCTCACTTTTCATGTAAAATTTAAAATTAGTTTAGCAAACTTGAAAAAAATCTTTTGTATTTTAACAAATATCACTTTTAACTCATGTACTTGGTGCAAGGATTTTTTTTTTCTATACATGGGCATCCATCTTTTCTCCATTTGAGACATTTCAACACACTAGAAAATTTCACTTTTTGCCTAAGGTCTTTGTTGGTATATTCACAGAACAATTGCAATTTGTTATATTCCACTACACATATAAATTGTGATACACACACACTTGTGACAGTGCAGTCTCTCAACACTTTCAATGTTATTTTTATGGAGTCTATTAAAGTATCCATATAAAAGTCATCTGAAAACAGTGTGAATTTAACTCCCATTCATTCTTTTGAGATAAGGTTTCTCTGTAGCTCAGACAGGCCTTGATTTCAGTATGGAGGTCAGGGTGGATCTTATATCAAAGGAGTCTTGCTGCCTCCCTTTCCCAGAACTGCAAGTGGTCATTCGGTGTGCTGAAGTCACTTGTGCTTTTGGAAGCCATCCTTCCACTTCCAAGGACCAGCATGAATTACTGTTGCAGACCACCTGCCCTCTTCAATGTACTGAAGGCCTTTAGTCCCTTTCTATACACATCATTTTAAAAATCGTTTTCAGAAAACTATCTTTGTGTATCTCTTGCAATTTCTATGATTTTTCTCTAATACTACCTTGCCATTTGTGTGATAGTATGTGATTGACTTGATTATACTTATTCTTGATATTTTTCAGAGGTTGCTTGCTACCATTTCCAGTTTATATATTTATCTAAATATATATTGCTGCATGGTAGTTCGTTCTACCTATAAAATTCTGTTAAGTAACTTTTATTAGAGTAAAAGTGGGATGGGAATTTTTATAGATGCATTCATTTATCTAGGAATTCTAGAGTGACTGAACACAGCTAAGACTGACTTTGAACTCTTGATAATCCTGTTCCTGCAGCTAAGCACGACCATGTCTGGTTTAAGTCATCTTTGACTAGTTGCATTTCAAACATTTTTCATTCTGAAGTCCACTACCATAAAGTTATTAAGAATCATGCCTTTTTTTTTTCAATCTTAATTTCAGGAATTTAGAAACTTAACTTTTCATTATTAAATTATCTCAACAAATGAGCCCCAGTATCTGCATTTTCATATTTGTTTCCATCACTTCTAATGATTTTAGACTTTCAGAGTGAGTGTAAGCAAGACCCAGGGTATTCTCATTCCTAAAATTAATTTAATAACCATTTATTAACATGAATATTTCCAGTGAGGCCTGAGTAGAACTAGAAATGGTTTCAAAATTGGGAAAACAAATGAAACTCCAAGGCCTATGAGTTTTATGTGCAAGGTCTTTTTGAATAAGCATATTTTCATAAGTATTATCAAAAACAAGAGGATCCATGAATGACACACCTTCTCCAGCACAGCCAACTCCTGAAGAAGTATTAATTAAGGGTAACTTGAGAGCTGAAGCTGTTAGTGTAACCTTTAGAGCATCAATGTGAACAAATTCTGTCACCTCCTGTTTAGGCACATAGATACATGCTCCATGCTCTTCATTTGTTAAAACACCTTTAAAGAAAATAGAAGCTGACACCTCAGGTTCAGGGGGCACTTATCACCAATGTTTGCAGAGCAAGTCTGCCTGAATCCTTACTGTATCAGCACATCTTCTAATTTCGAATCAAATGGTTTCGAATATAGCTAAACCTAGCATATAGCTATGAAGTGTTTGATGTCTTTTCTGCCTGTAAAGATATTAACTATAGAATATAATTAAGATTTCTATGTCATTATAGAAAATGTTTAGGACTAACTATAGTATATAGAAGTCTACAAAACAGGATTATTTTCTCATCAGCTAATTTAAATACTAATTTAGAGTAGGTTTCTATATAGATTTAACTAAAGGAATTTAAGGAAAATTTTGTATTTTCAGGATTTCTCTTAGTAAACTTATATACTTTAGTAGAGGCCTTTTTTTTCCTTTTTAAACATTTTTTTCTCAACAAGTAGGTCTGTTGATCTTAAGTGTACAGTGATGTTAACTAAAAGTTATGATCTTGGAAGAGAAGGCTGAATGCTATATGGCATGTCTGAAAGTTATTTGAAGCATCCTAGTAAGACTTTACTACCCTGGTACCATTTCCATGACTATTTTTGTGCTCATCTATTTCTAACCTGGAACTATTTAATGAATTGGAAAGCTGGGTTAAAAAAAAAAGTGGTGATTTTGACCATAAGTACGCAGTTTTATGGGCAGTTTCTAGAAAGTGCTCTATCTCTACATGAAAATAAATGAAACCCCTAAAGGAGTGGAGACACACAGAAAGGCAGAATCATTTTCAGCTAGTTATCATTTATGTGTCTGAAGAGCTTAATGACAGTGCATATATTTAAAACGATAAGCTCTATTAAAATTGGCCTATCACAGTGCACTTTTAATAGGCCTGAACTGTATTTATTGTATCCCCTCCTTACCTCATATGGAAAAGGGAATATTATCTATTTTTTTTTCCTTCTCACTAGATACTGTAGATGAGTAAATTTGAAGAATTAGAATGAGAAACATAAGCAAGAAAGAGTTCATCTACGGATTCTAATATTCCTCCTATTCAAGCACCAAGATTTTAAACATTTATTTTGTTATGCCAACACCTAGGAAATTTGCCATTAAAAAATGAATCAAAATATGTATTTTTTAAATTTTATTATTACTGTTTAGCAACGGGAAAATGCAATTTATTTACACCAGCAGCCATATGGGCAGGGAAACACACAGAGTTAATAGCTATTTGTATAGGATGGATTACTTATTAAAAAATAAGAATCTCCAAAACAAAAGACAGTGGTAAGTTTCACACTACCCTCCCCCAATGATCCCAGCATGCGATAATGCCAGGCAGTGGCCCCTGGGCATGCGGTGATGGGAACTTATTTATGGAAGAAAAAACCACAAACCACAGAATTTTTAAAGAACCCCTTTCCCCCATACACACACACACCCAGATACATAATAGGATTACAGAGTGGTCAATACAATTAATTGAAGAGAAGTATAGAATTCTGCTGTTACAGGAAAAGCAGGGAAGGGACAGTTCCTAACCACTGTCAACTATATGGTGGAGAACATTAGCTTCCAAAAAAGTAGTGTTCCCTCAGGGCAGTAAAGGCTGAACTGAGCCCACCTTATATCTACACAGGGTGGGGAGCTATGGCCCTAGTGGAGATGATGGAGACAGAAAACATAAACAAAGGGAAGTAATGTGAGCAAACTATTACCCCAAACTACCACCCACTTCTTGTTCTAGCCAGAAAAAGAGTAGAAAGAAAATATGAAAGTCACATTTGAGCTCCCTATCTGAAGGCAAGAGTGGGCGGGCCGTGGCCTTTCTCCCTTTCATTCTGTTTCCCAATACTTGTACACAGGAATCTTTAAGACCGCTTTTCCTTGAATTCACTGAAGGTGCTGAAACAACTCAAGTAGCAAGGGATCTTTTAAAAGTATCTTTAGTTTCTGGCCAAGGTTTCATTTTTTTTTTCCATCAAACTGTAACTAGGCCCTAACCCTGAGCTGGAAAACTCTGAGAAAGCAACAGATGGTCTCAAGGCCCAATCACTGTGGTTTCCTTAACTCTTGAGTGACCCACATCAGTTCATCCAGTTCAGAGCGAGCCCGGGAAAAGGGAGACATGTCCACAGTAGGGTTAGAAAGTGGAGCACAGCAAACTCCATCCTTGTGTACACCAGCATTCATGGTTCTGCTCTAAGTCCTAAGAGGCAACATCCAAGCAGCAATGGGAAGAGAGAACTCATGACAAAGCGGGGGCATAGACTAGCAAGGCAGTTCTATGTAAGAGAAAAAGAGTTCTATGTAAATACAAAAAAAAACAAAACATAACAAAAAATTAAGTTATTTTCTCATCCCCATTTAAAAGGGAGGGAGCCATGAGAAGATTCTCCTCCCAGTCTTCCATAAAAACAGGTAAAACCAACAACATAAAAACCTAAAAATTTAAGAAAGCAACAGCAAAAACAAAACAAAAGAAGGAAAGAGGAAACATGCAGGCTTCAGAGGCAGGAACCCTGGAGATGAACTGAAATGGAGTGGCAAGCAGCACCGGGAATCATGAGCTGCACCAGATAGGCAGTGGAGCAGTGACAGGAACATGGCCAAGCCAGACAGATGAGGCTGGACCCTTGACTGGGGCACAGAATGAGGTAAGAAAACATCTCAAATAAAGCAGCACCGTTCTGTTCTGCACACCTCAGGACTCCCACCCTCCTACCCCCCATCAACCCTCCCTTAGGGACTAACACAGAGGGCAGTTTGATCCACCGCTCACTTCCCATCTGCTCCTATCCCAGCCTCCAAAGTCAGAGAAATTTGGAGGTCTTTTCCTAACTTCCCAAACCAAAAAAACAGCTCCTGCTGCTAAGGAGGACCAGGGGACCCAGTGGACTGTCATTTGTGAGGGCAGAGAAGGTGGCAGTGGGCTTAAGTCACCAAAGCAGAAGTTTGACTGCCCAATTTAAGGAAAAAAGATTCTACAACGGTACCAGGTAAGCAAGGCCTGTTTCAGGACCCTTAGCATTAACTCATTCACATTACTGAGGGTAGATGCAAAAAGTTCCCTCCTGGCTCAATTTTTCAAACAGTCTCCTGCTTGGCCACTGCACCCTTCTAATAGTTCTGTGGTGCCCCTGGAGGACAGTGACTTATCACAATCATCGAGTCAGAACCATAGGCTGGTTACATCACCAGTAACTCTAAAGTAGGAAAAGACTGTCCCATCAAACTTAGGTCCACAGAGGCTCAAGATACGAAACTTCCAGGTGGAGATGGCCTGCAGTTGCAGAGGTCTACTTCATCCTCACAGCATCGGAACAAAATCTTCGACTGCTTGTAAACCAACTTGGCCTTGGCCAAACCTTTGCCACTAAGTGGAATGGAAAGACGGGGCTTTTGATGAGCCAAAGGTGAGGCTTTGTCCCCACGTCAGCTGAAATCACAGAATATGCTGGACCTCTGGGAAACAGGTGGTTCTGAACTTCTTGTAGACAAGGCCTGGGCTTCCTACCAAATTCAAACGGGAATTAGTATTTTTGTTTGAGTACCCAAGTCTCACACCTGACTTTCACGTGTATCAAAGAGGCCCAACTGGAGGCTTAGATATCAGAGGAGCAGTCCACTGAAGCTGACTGACCATGGCCTGACCACCAACAGCATCCAAACTTTGCCGGAAGCCCTTGACATCAAGCAGATGCAAAATCTGAGAAACAAAAGAATTTGAGATGCTGGGTACACAGCTGCTCACCTGTGTACGGAGGGCAGCACAGGGAGGGATCTTGTACATCCGGGTGTATTTTATAGAGCTTAAAATACAGCATGCTGCCTGTGGACACTGTCCTGCCCAGGATGTAAGATCTGACACTGGGTATCCTTCCAAATGGATCCAAATTGTTAAATTCTCTTCTTTGCGCTTTTGTTTGTTTGTTTGTCTATTTTTCACGCTAAGATCTTTGAGGGTAACTGGGACTCTTATCTTTTTTTTTTCCCTTTTTTTTTTCTTCTCCAACTTAGCTTACTCCTCCAAGCCACGGGGACCAGTCTACACTACTGTCCTGGTCACTGTCGCCCTCTCTCACGTGGTGACTACTGGAATTCTGGGGGTGAACGCTGCAGCTCCTGCTGGGGCCCATTCTCAGGTTCTCCGGGAAGGGAGCAGAGCGGGAGGCGGCAGGCGCCTTTGTCTTCCACTGGCTGGATGCCAAAATCCTTCACGCTCCCGGTGTCTGCGAACTCCAGGTAGAAGTAGCCACACTTGACCGCCCGGTGCACCTCAAAGCAGAATCCCAGGCAGGAATCCTCTATCAGGTCTACATAGATCTCCTGGGCGATGGCCTCCAGCTTGTTAGTATCCAGGTTGGCCAACGAAATCTCCTCCATCTTCCCCGGGTAGGCGCCGCGCAGAGGGCGCTGGGTTTTACTCACGGCAGATACTCGTCGGGCTCCCCCGGGCCGCGCTAGGCCTGCAGGCCTCTCCGGGCCGCGTCCTCCGGATCGGCGACAGCGACGTCGGCGGCGACAGCGACGGCTGCTCCGGAGCCCCCAACGCTCGCCCGGCTCTGACGACGGCCACGCTCGCGATGCTGAGCTGCGCCCGGGCCCGGCTCACCGCTAAACCGTCTCGGCGCCTCACCCAGCCGTTCTGGCCTCTTCCTGTCGCGGACGGTCTGGGCCCGGCCCCCCACTTCCGGCCCGCGGTGCGCCTGCGCACTAACTCGGCGCAGAGGCAGGGCCGCCGCTTTGGCGCAGATCGCTGGCTCCGGGCGTTGGGGGTGGGGGTAGGGGTGGGGGCGGGGGCGGGAGCGGCATCTGTGCGAGCCTTTGGGGAGACTCCGATCTTGCACGTCGTTCTCTCGGTTCATGAAATGATATCAACGATGCAGTGTAATCTTTCACAGTTACTTAGACATTCGCTAATGAGTTCACCTAAGCTTAATGGATTTCCTCCGGAAAAGGAGCAATAGTAATGACTTGCCCCGTTGTGGAATCGATCGAGTAATGATTTTAGCCGTAGGTATCCATATACGACCGAAAATCTGACTTATAGGATTGATTTATAATTATTTACAGTGCTGCTGCAGTTGTCATTTAAATCCACTAGATGGTGCAAGGAAGCAAATTACCGAATAGTTTATCTTTTGAGTCTTTTTGAAGGGGGGTTGGGGGACCCTAGATTCTTGACTCTAAAGGCATAATTCAAATATATTGATCAAATAAACCTAAGGCATTTATCTCACTTATAAGACCATTAAGTCAGCGTGACTGTAAAGAAATGATTGCATATGTCTCTAAAATCGCTGGATGATAAAAACGATGTGTGCATTGTTGGTTGAGAGGATGCAGGGAGCCGAAGCTTTTCCTAAAGTTAGTCTGTTGTCCTTGTGAGAACTGGAATCTGTCCACTGATTCCCTGCGGCCAGCTCGAACAACTTTTCCCGTTTAATAAAATACACTAATACCCAGGGTGCATCAGAAGATGTCAGCCTTTCCTAATCAGATTAGTTGTGGTTTCAAGCATAAGGAAGCCACTGTTTTATTACTTATCCTTTTCATTACTTGATTTTCCTCCCCAACTGCTTTACTTTTGCAATTTATCATAGGAGAACTGTGGTTAAAGAAAAAATAAAATGCTTATTTATGGCTTCTTTATTCAAGGTTTCCAGATTAGAGCAAAATATCATCAGCACACTCTTATTTTTCAACATTACTTCGTTTCTAGGTTTTCATGAGTTCAGAATTCCGTTACACTAATTGGTTTATGAGTTGAAATGATTTGTAAACAGTTTGATTTTCTGGTTACCTATTTGATCAATTTAGAACTTTAGAAATTACAAATTGCCGGATACTGATCACTTTGAAAGCCTATGAAACTTAATTTTTTTTGCATGCCCAAAGGTCTCAGTTTTAGTTTAAGGCAGACTTTTTTTAAATGAAATTTTCTTTAATCTATATGCCCTAGATTTAAAAACATATTTTGATGCAATGAGGAATTTCCTAATAGCTACACAATAGACCCTAAAATATGATTAAGAGCCCATGTTCCCAACCCAGACTGCATCCTACAATACATGCCTATGTAAATCTCAAGTTTGAATTTGTTTTCTTAAAATTGCTTAGTAGGTGTTATCACTAGCCTCGTAGAGAGACACATGGCAATATGTGTAATGGTTTTCACACAGTGCCTGGCATGATGTGTAGTGGTACAAACTGTTATATGCCTAGTTAAGTGAGAGAAATATGGTTATGACTTTAAGCATTTTGTGAAGTTCTTTCCTTTCATTCCTTATTCAAACTTAATCTAAAGCAGTGCTTCCCAGCGCCTATGCATAAATCACTGAGACCTTTGTGAAATTTAGATTTTGTTTCTTTGTTGTCTGCAGGTCTTGGGTTGGGCCTGAATGAAATACCTCTTCATTTCTAGCACACACCAATATAAGCTGGTGATGACACATTAAGTGACAAACAAAAGTTCTTACTAACAGACAACTGACCATTGTTATCATCCATGCATAATTTTTTCTTGCCTGGCCATCTAAAGAGTCTTTGTTACAACTGTTTGCCTGGCGGTGGTGGCGCACGCCTTTAATCCCAGCACTCCGGAGGCAGAGGCAGGCGGATCTCTGTGAGTTCGAGGCCAGGCTGGACCGACAGTCTCCAAAACAATACAGAGAAACCCTGTCTCGAAAAACCAAAAAAATAAAAAAATGTTTTAAAATCATATCAGTGTTTTATTCTATTTACTCTTACTAAATAAATGCTATTGTATTGAAAATTTGTAGTTTGTATTACCTTCTATTTGTATTACTAGTTAAATTTGAAATGTACTGGATATTTCATTTTAAATCAACATATCAGAAAAACAAATGAGAAATAATGTATTAGTTGTCTTAATAGAGTGTTGAAGTTACTAAGTTTATCAATATTTAATTCATTTTCTAGAACAAAGAAAGTAATATGAAATACTTCTTCACAAGTGATATTGAAATACATGTATTAAAATATGTAGTGCACCAAAGGGATAGATACACGGAATACCATCAAACATCTTTTCCCCCATCAAACAAAGCATAAAATGGGACAAGGAAAACATTAGAATTCTTATCTGAACATGCTTTTTAAAATTTTTTTAAATTAATTTATTTTTTACATTCCAATGTCAATTCCCCCTCCGTCCTCTTCCCCTGCTCCCCCCATTCTCCCACACCTGCTCCTCAGAGAGGATAAGGCCTCCCCTACGAAGTCTACTAAGTCTATCCCATCATCTAACTGAGGCAGGACCAAGGCACCTCTCCACCCCCACACTACTGTACCTAGGCTGAGCAAGGTATCTCTCCATATAGAATCAATAAATATTGACAGGATAAAAAGTTTTAAAAATTCTAATTTGTTCAATTAAATTCTGTGGCAAAATTATTTTAGTAGGTCAGGTTGGTACAGTAATGCTGCCTACACATGAAGATGGTTGTGAAGACAGCTCATCTATTCAGAACCTTTACAAAGGTAACAAACAGGGTTCCCTTTAGACATAAAATTTCTCTGTAATGTCTACTAAATCAATTTCTAAGTGACGGTATATTAATTCCCCTTTCTTCTCTGACAAATCATGTCTTTAATAGATCTTGATCTTGCTAGCTGTTTTTCTAACCACAGAAGTGTTTGGAAACATAAGCCTAGAGATTTGTGAAGAATTTTATCATGGCCACAAAACTATTATGCAGGCCAGTCTAGTTTAGTAAAAACATGTGTATTAATTTCTAGTACTCCTCAGAGTAAGCAATATGGCATGAGATACTGGAACAGAAGACTCATGTTTTAATCTTTACACTCATCCAGCCTATTTGAAAAAGCAGTAAATAAAAATAATACTTTCATGTTGGATAAGGAAACTAAAGCCAGAGGTGTTAAGAGAATTTGTCAACCTGAGAATGGTAAAATTAGAACCAACTGGCAAATCTTTTGACACAATCTAATTCCTTTCTTGGTACAGAGTAGTTTTCCAATGTCTGGTTTCTTAGCTGCAAAAAGTTTAGTAATGGCTACATTTATTGAAAAACTAGTACCAGCAATAATATGTAATATAATTCACTATCAATATATAATGTACTGGTGAATGAAAACTACATGGAATTTACGGACTCTGTATTCTGTTATATTCATTTTTTTTATCTAGAAGCAATGACAATATTTTTCAAATTAGTAAGTTATCCAATCCAAACAAGAATCACACAATATAGAAATGCATCAAATATTAATTTAGAATGTCTCTTATTTTCATTTTAGAGGTAGAATGTTGCTTTGTTCTTCAGGCTGTCTTCAAACTTCTGGTCCTCCTTCTTGATCTGTATAAGTGTTAGGATTATAGTGGCATACCACCAGCCATACCAGCTTAAATGGGGCATCATTTTTACAACGTTTAATCAAGTTTAATTTTTAGTGTTTGAATTTTATTATTATTTATATCTTCTGTTCACAGTCCTCTGCCTTTATGTTACAAAGACAGATTGATGGAGTTAATTGAACATACATTGTTCTAATTGGGCTAATGCTCATTAGGTTTGTTTTTGTTTGTCTTCTCCCATGAAGATCTATGTTTTTAAGCCAAGCTGTTTAACTGTGGGTGGGAAATTTTTATTTCTTGTATTCCACAGATAGTCATCTGGTATATGCCACCAAGTGAGAGATTGATTTTCTTGAAAAAAAAAGGGTAAATGTAGGATTAAGAGAAAATTTGGATACTCAAATGATAGTAGTTCAGAACTGGTCATGGATTAATGACTAATATTTTCTAAGTGAATTATTCTGTTTTTTCTCTTTGGATTAAATCTCACAGAATTTTTTATCTTTTCATCCATTTGCATTGAATCTGTTCTTTGCTTTTCAATTCTAAGGGAAGTTTCAGAATTTTCATGTATGTCTATTTAGGGGGGGTCATTAATTTCTTTCAGCGTCTATCCAAAATTTTCTCAACCACCCTTTTTGTTTATCTTGACACATTTTTATCAACCGTTGTAGTCTACCATTTCTATTAATTTATTAGCCATTCCATAATGCTACTAGAATTTTATTTTAGTAAACTATGAATAAGCACATCACAGCCATTGTGTATCTTTCTCTTACATTTTCATTAGTGTAGTTCTCACTTCCAGAGCCTTGGACATTTATTCTATAGGTACATACACATTAGATGTGTATATTTTCATTTGTATTAAACACAATGCTATCTTCACAGAGGGTCTTCATACTTGATACTAAAAAAGAGCTCTACTAAAATTTAGTAGACCAAGTCTTCATATAACTGATGCTTCTGACAGATGCTACATGCTGGGAATTGTTCCAAAGTACAAAGATAAATGTCACCAAAAATTATTTACCAAATACATATAAAGTTCCTCAGGAAAAAAAACAGAATTGCAAACATGCATATAGGTGATATGAGATATTTACTATATTTAATAAAAATAGAGAATTGAAACATTTAATGTAAAAAAATTGTCAAGAAACTGTGGGACTTTTACTTGTAGTGTGTATATATTTTATGCTTCAATAATAAATTGGAGTAGTTGCAAATGAAAGCTTCTGTCCCATAAACATAAAGTATTGTATTACTCTGTAAACAAATATTTGCTTATATCATTTCTAAAGTGGAATGACAAAGCAGTTATGACAGAATTATTAAACTCAGT